GATACAGCATCAGTTCGTCTTGGGAATGATATATACAAGTCCTGCACAGCGGTCAGAGGGATTTTAAGCCATTCTCCTCCACCAGCAGGATAGTGGCCGGGTCACGATGTGAAGAATGTTTCCTGACTCGCTCCTCCAAAACACCCCAAAGTGGCTCAATAATATTTAGATCTGGTGACTGCAGGCCATGGGAGATGTTCATCAAACCAATCTTCCACCAGTCTTGCTGTGTGTATTGGTGCATTGCCATTCTGATACACAGCGCCTCCTTCAGGATACAATGTTTGAACCATTGGATGCACATGGTCCTCCAGAATGGTTGATTAAATACTAAAAATGCTAATTAATATTTATTTTGGAGCTCAGAGCAAAATCAGCCTGATAAATGAACATTAGGGAGGTAGTTGTATCTTAGATATTTTAGGAGAAATGTTCTTTTATCCAAACTAAACGGTAGAAAAGCCTGGAAGTCTATGATCATCTCAGCATGTTAGATTTCTCATTATTTCATCATCTAGCATCTGGAGGCCGGAGGCCCTGCAATGCCCACCGCCTCCATCAGCTTCTTCCTCCTTTCAGTAATTTAGGCTCTACTTCCGGTCTCCCTCCACCTTCAATGATGGAATAAACATGAAACGCTTCGCTTCCTGCTGCTGCTTCACTAACAGCAACTTTAAAACAAACTTTTTCTTACCTTCGACCTGCGCGGCCACGCTTCACGCTGCTGCTTGTTTACTTCCGGACTGATCGCCGCGCATGCGCGATAGCGTCATACGTCAATACGTTTAGCGGCGTCCTACTGACGTCATATTGGGGGTGGGTCCTCTTCACTGCTGTGGAGGTTTACATCAAATTACATTTACCCTGAAAGACAAAATAAAAATAACATCCTACAAAAATGTGATAAAAGCTCAATAACTAAACTAAGAACAATGTTTCTAGCACTTCCTAATAATGAACAACATATACGCCTCTAAAGAATTATTGAGACTTCGCTTTGCAATAGATGATAACACATGTGCGTTCTGTGAAAATGACATGCAAACTACGGACCGTGTTTTCCTCTCATGTTCAGTGGTGCAAACATTTTGGAGTGATCTGCATA